GTTAAAACAGCGATGCGTAGTAGGATTGGAGATGAATTTCTTGCTGACTACATGACCATCAACCTTGAACGAGAGCTTGTTTGGAAAATTAATTTGGAGTTTATTATTGACGAATTTGAGTCTTTAAAGACTCGTCGAACACAAGACATTTTGTAAACTTTGAATTCAAATATTTATCTTTATTATGTTATAATTTTTTTTTTTTTTTTTTTTTGCTTAAGAAATTTTGTTATTAAATTTATGTTTAACATTAACCCATCCCAACAAGAAATCCTAGATCCGCCTTTGATTGAAATGAACAACAATTCGAAGTTGTGGGAGAGGGGAAAAGAAGACCAAAAGGGTACTTTTGGAAATATATATATATATATATTTTGAACCAATTTGGAAACAAATTCGAAGATAGGACTTCTTGGTCCAAATAAAAATATATATACAAACAAAAATTAAAGAGAGAAAAAAATATAAATATAGTATTTATAGACACAAATAATAAAATTGTGGTATTATATAATATTAAGGAAGAAATGAATGAGGGCAATTTGGAAAGTCAAAAAGGATACTATTAGTATTAGAAAGCCTTTTTTGATATGACCCGTATATGTCACTTTTTGGAATCAGTTTGTTTTCTCATTTTTCATATTATAGAGATGAAATTTAAACTGGTATTATTTGCACACGTTTTTTTTTTCTTTTTTTGCGCTCCACCATACATATTCATATATATATATAGAGATGAAATTTAAACTGGTATTATTTGCACACGTTTTTTTTTTCTTTTTTTGCACTCCACCATACATATTCATATATATATATATATATATATATATATATATATGAATATGTATGGTGGAGTGCAAAAAAAGAAAAAAAAAACGTGTGCAAATAATACCAGTTTAAATTTCATCTCTATAATATGAAAAATGAGAAAACAAACTGATTCCAAAAAGTGACATATACGGGTCATATATATATGAATATGTATGGTGGAGTGCAAAAAAAGATATATATATATATATATATATATATATATATGAATATGTATGGTGGAGTGCAAAAAAAGAAAAAAAAACGTGTGCAAATAATACCAGTTTAAATTTCATCTCTATAATATGAAAAATGAGAAAACAAACTGATTCCAAAAAGTGACATATACGGGTCATATATATATGAATATGTATGGTGGAGTGCAAAAAAAGAAATATATACACCTCCTCCTAAACATCAAGAGAAGGATTTCCTATTTGCCATTTTATATTTTCTCCACATTGATTTTATTATATAGGTCTCAGGCAAAGTAGCTAACATTAAGTTTATATTATTATAATTAATATATGAAAGCTGCCACCAGTGAACAAAGCCAATGAAACAATAAAAATTTAGTGCAATGCCATTAATTGCTGTCCAATGAAACAATTGAACCCAATAAGATTTGAACTTCAAAGAGAAATAAATATACCATGGACTATCACAACTATAAAGTTTTTATTTATAGTCGGATTAGGTGCCCCACAAAGACATTCAATTTTTAAACAATGCTCTGCAAAATGGATATACAACTTGTACTCAAGAGTTCGCACATTGACCATTCTAAAAAAATATACTACAAGGCTTCTTTGCCCTCCCTCTGATATTTCTTTGGAGTCTCCGAAAAGATTCTTAATTTTAGTAGACAAAATAACATTCTTCTATAAATTTTTTTAAAAGAATTGGTGGCGATGGTTAATGTGGTGGAGGTGAAAAGCGGTAGTGGTGTAAGTGGTAGTGTTGGAAGGCGATGGTGGCGAAAAGCAGTAGGGTGTTGGAAGAAGGCGGTGGTGGTGGCAGTGGCAGTGGCAGTGGCGGTGGTGGTAATGGTGGAAGCCATCAATGGTGTAGGTGATGATGGCGGAAGGCAGTGGTGTGGTGGTGGTGGAAGACGACAGTGGTGTAAGTGGTGGTGGAAGACGACAGTGGTGCAACGGTGGTGGATGTGGCGGTGGAGGTGGAGGTGGCAGTGGTGACGGAAGTCGGTGTCGGTGACGGTGGAGATGGCGACGACGGTGGTGGAAGGTGGTGGTGGTGGAAGGTAGTGGTGGTGATGGTGGAAGTTGATGATGGTAGAGGTGAAGGTGGCGTTAGTGATAAAGGTGGAGGTGGAGGTGGAGGTGGTGGTGGTGGTGGTGATGGAAGTTGGTGGCTGTGGTGGTGGCGGTAATGGTGGAGGTGGCAGTGGCGGTGATGAAAGTCGATGGTGGAGGTGGCGGTAGTGTGGCGGAGGTGGAGGTGGAAGGCAACTATGGTGGTGGCAGTGGCAATGACGGTGGTGGAAGTGGTGGAAGACGTCAATGGTGGTGGAAGGTAGCGGTGATGGTGAAGGCGACAATTATGGTGGTGGTAATGGTGATGGTGGTGGTGGCAATGACGGTGGTGGAAGGCAATGGATATGGCGGTGGTCAATGGTTGTAGTGGTGAAAGGTGGTGGCGATGGTGGAAGTCAATGGTGGTGGTGGCCACAATGGAAGTGGAGGTGGCGGTGGTGATAAGTGCTGAATGTTGCATATTTAAGCCCTTAAACGTGTATGTGTTAATACTTTAGTGATGCCTTTATCTCGGTTCTTATGTTTATTTTTCTTAATTTATTATTGTAGGTCTTTACCTAAAGAAATGGGCAATCCCATGTATTTAGAGCTTATGACGATGTTCCCGGTGCTTAAGGAAATGTTCGGGGCCTTTCGGGTCAATTCGGGACTCAACCAGAGAAGATTTGATGAAATTTGAGGTTCAGGGCTCGAGCACTGCCTAGTGCTCAAGCATAACTTCCTAGTACTCGAGCACTGGTTGAAGAAAAGTTTTTTTAAAAAAACTAAGTGTTGAGCAAAAAGACGCTTCGAGAAATATTTGCAAAATTTTGAGTAAGTGTTGATCATTACTCAAGGCCCATGCCTTAGTGCTCGAGCACTAGACCCCAGAGCTCGAGCACTAGACCCTAGAGCTCTAGCACTGATGTTAGTGCTTGAGCCTTAAGATCCTGAAAGTGCCTTAAAGTTACGGGAAAGCTACAAAATCACTATTCTTTGTTTCATTATGGGCCCAATTGTCTAAAGCCCATCCAAGGGGGATTAAGACTTGTTCCTCACTATAAAAGAAGATGAGAAGACGCATTGAAGGGGTTCCCTAAGTTGTTCTTCTTATCCTACCTTGTGGTGGTTTTTAGGGTTTTGAAGATTCCAATTGGTGGTTCATGTAGATGGATTCTACACCAACAATGATGACATACTTTCTCTCCATGAGTAGCTAAAACATTCCTTAGGAAATTGATGTAACCTTAGTCCGAGTAGCATGGTTTGATTGTTCTTAACTTTAGGGATTTTTATATGTATATTGATTACATGATTTTGAGCAATTGACTTAGTTGTACAAAACAATTGGAATTTTAATGAATAAAATTAGTTTTAATAAAATTAATCTATTATCTTAGAATTAATCTTATTTTAAATGAATTCAAACCCTTATATTATGAGAGATTGACGGCTAAGTGATTTTCTTAATGGTAGAAGTGGTTATCATACAATGGTGCTTAAACGACTATATTAATGAATGTTTTCATTATTTATGCCTAGGGAAGACGAGTTGTACTGTATGAGAATTTAGAGTAATTAGGTAGAACATTTGTGCCAACCGAAGATGAGTTATGGCTTATTGTTTATTCATATACATCTTCTTAATTGAATTGAAGTGTGCTTGTAGCCACTTGATTCCCGAATATGCATAAGTGTGAATTTCCTCATAGTTGTAGCAATTGACCATGTTATGAGGCCAACGGTGAAATTAAAGCCTAAGTTCTTCTCACTTTGATCTCATCATTTGTTAATTTAGTTTATTTTTAGTTTTATTGCATTTTAGAAATAGAAAACATCAAAAAAAAATTCTCTTGAATTATATAAGGATTAATTTTATACTTGATAATACCAACACGGTCCTTAAGGTTCGACACCCTCAATATAGTCTTATCATACAATGATTCGTTCTATTATGAGTGATTTTTATTATTGATAATAAACACATCAGGTGGCTTAAGGCAATGGAGGTGGCAGCGATGTGTTGATTAAAGGTGGCAACAAAGATGACAGCGCCAGTGACGGTGGTAGAAGGCTAATGGTGAAAGTCAGTGGTGGTTATGATAGAAGGTGGTGGTGGTTTTTGAGCTTTGAGTACGAGGATTTTTTAGGAACTTGATTTATATATATATATTTGGGAATGAAATGGCCATTCCATAAGGGTTAGTTTGGTAGGTGGAAATGGAATGAAATAAAGTGAAATAGAATGCTTTTAATTCCATTCTTTTGTTTGGAAAGTAATTTTAAAAATGGAATGTTCATTTTCCACCTTTCTTAGAGAATGTCATTCCATTAATACCATTCCATTTTCCAACAAGAGAAATGGACATTCCATTCCCACTTAAAAAAATTACGGAGTAAAAATAATATTAAAAATCACTTTGCTTGAACAATGTAATTGCTAGCACACTCTTCTCAAACAACGAGATACAATAAAGGGAAACTTTTTTCTTGATATTCCATCCTCAATTTCCAAATATACATCTAAAATATATATATATATATATATATATATATATATATTTATTTATTTATTTATTTATTTAGTTTACATATATATAGATTAGTTTTTATTTTTAAGCCATGCATAACCAAACGATATAATGGGAATGGTCATTCCATTCTCATTCTATTCTCATTTGATTCTCTGGTTCATTCCATTCCTGCATACCAAACTAGCCCAGTGGAATGAATTTTCACTCCAATGAAATGGTTATTCTCACTTTAAATTGCATACCAAACAAATAAATGGCTTCCATTCCATTCCTTCCTCCGCACCAAACGTAGCATACAATCTCAGGGAGCACTCATAAGTATAAAACTTGCATGGTGAGCAACGGAAACGATAAAAGAGCTGTAGTCTACTTGTTTTGCAAAAGAAAACATCCTTCAAGAACACGATAAAAGCAACATGTTTCAGATAAAAGTTTTGCAAATAGTCCCTAGCATAAGTCTATCTAGTAAAATACAACCATTATGATAAAAGTTGAGACTTTCATCACCATCAGTACATACAAGTACAGAACAATCAGCATACAAGTTAACTAGTGCTCCAACAGCTACTTATATCCAGCAGTCAACTAACATTAGAATCCAAAACGGAGCACATCAAAATAAGCCACTTACCATGGGGCGGCAGCTAGGCCTTCAAAATCAAGCTTCACGCTCTTAATGTCTTCAGTAATGTCTTCCACCCTTGATTGCAAAGAGGCAATCTCAGAATCCTTAATCTCATTCAATGGCACAACCAATGCACGTTTTTCTTGTAACTCCCTAATCTGCTTATCAATTTCATCGATCTCTTCATCAATTTTGCTTTTCTGATGACTATGCTCCATAATCCGAGTTTTGAGTTCTGTTGTCTACTCTTGAAGTTGTTCCTGCTTATCTTTTAACAATAGCAACCCAGTTAAACGATCTCTTACCATCTTCACATCAAATCCATGACTTTCCAAGTCAAGAAGACTGTCCAGACTATCCTCAATGACGCTTCTAGGATCATCAAAATGCAAATCAAAGGTTTTCTTTACCACACTGGAAAAGGTTACCATACTAACTATAGCTAAACCTTCACGAGAACTCTGTTTACAACTATCTAGAGGACGGAAATGTGGCTTTTGCGGCATCGCTCGGAACACTTCCATAGTTTCAATTGTTTCCCAAAGTGGAAAGGTCTTCACAAAAGGCAAGCTTCGACTTTCATCTGGCACATTGTCACCATTGGCATCAACTGCAGGAGACTGGATTGCAATTTCTCTGTCTCTCTTGATTGCCTCAGTATGTTGGACAGTCCTAGCAGTGGAAACTCCTAAACAGAAAACAGATGTTATCATAAAAGTTAAAATATAAGGAATACAATAAACAAGTCGGACTAGCTTACTTGAACCATCAACTGCTGGAGAGTGCATTCCTTCAAACCACATAGATAGAGGTTGATCATCGGACATGCTGCTGGGTAATTTATCAATGGCCATTTCAACTCCCTCTGTTACAAAATCTGTTCCAAAATCTTCAGTTGTTTTTTCCCCTCTGGAATCGTCTTGAGAATCTAAAAAAAATGAAAATACACAAACCTATTAATTGGAGAGAGAAAAAAAATGCTGGATTCATTCACTTTAATCTAAAGAATATTAGGGGAGGTAAGGTTCTGTTCATCTCCAACATAAGCAGAAGATGCTTCATCGCAGTTGCAATTAAAGCTGGCACTACTTTTGCAGAAAGATAATATCATAAAAGCAAAAACTTTTGATTGCCACCAAAACATGGAAGAGATGACAAATTGGAACCTTTTAAAAGGTTTTGGTTGGTTTTCTGTTAGAAAGATTCCAAAATCTTTATTTTATTTCATTTATTTATTTATTTTAAGTTAAAGATTTCTGCCTTTTGAAGGTAAATATAAAAAAATATAATGATGCACTATGAAGGAAAAACTATGAAACAATTTCATGACTGGAAAGCCCATATTACCCTAGGCGAATGTACAACTTGTACCACATAAAGTCAATGTCATGAAAAGGAAAATAGAAAACTAAATTATGCACAGTAGAGGTTGAGATGATATCTTCACTGGAAGGTGTGGTTAGGATGGTATCTTCACTTGAAGGCATTTGATACTCTCTATGCAAATGCATCACTTGACCACATGAAGTAAAAGCCTACCTTGAAATGGAGATTCAATATTTACGCCAGCTCTTCTTCTTCTACTCCTCATTGACGAGTACTTCTCACGTTGCCTACTTGACTCTTGCACAACTTTTTCACTTGATAGTTTATCTTTTCTTGCAGGGGGAGTTTTCATTTTATTGGTTTTTTGCTTCATGAGACCATCTGGAAGCTTCTTATCATCCCCAACAAGCTTCAGATATTCATTACCGAGAAGTGAGCCCTTTATCCTAGCAGACCGCACCGCCGTGATTGCGGCCAATTCTACTTCACTTGTTATGCAATCTTTCACAACCATCTCGTTTGTAGCAACCATGTCTCCACTTTGCTCCTTACCTATAAGCATTCACACATTTATGCCACTAAAAATTTTAATATTTCGACAATGATTATAACCTAAAGGTATTACAATTTACCTGCAACCGAAGCTTCGGGGCTTTTGGCCCGTAATTTAGGTGGCCTTCCCCTCCTTTGCTCTCTCCACCTTCTTCTAACCGATTAATTTCCTGCACAAAGAACAACCTTCAAGTAGGTGTTGTAGACAAAGAACAGTACATCAATCAATGGGGGGAGGGGGGGGATAATGAACTTACAATAGATATATCCATAGAAGGTCAAATTAGTTATGCAGCTATGCCCCCTACCATCTAATCTATTACAAGTTACTACCTACGTCCCATATTAAATGTCCACCTTTCCATTTTTGGCTGTCCCATTGGAAAAGTAATAGTACTATTACTTGTAACATTACTAATTTAACCTTTTGGCATTGAATTTTTAAAACGTAAACCATCACATCCTGTTGACCCATTATGGACATTTGGTAATTTATTCACTACCAATACAATAAAAAAATATTAAAACCCACCCTCTTAAAAAATAAGATTCCCGAAAAGGGAAGTTTAATTTGGGACGGAGTGAGTACATGCTAAAAATAGTAACTTTCCTGAATTCATCAGTTTCTTTTGGTAGATTCACAGCACAAAGAGGAGCTACATTATTCTATTCTTCAAATACAGATTTTCTTTTCCATGAAAGTATCCTCATTATTGCTCACCTTGATCTTGTGTTTTGTTGAATCATTTTAATTGCTCCTTTTGATCTCTCAAGAGCTTCAAAGATTCCTTACTAGGAAAGTGATGAGATTTTCTGGCTTGTAAGCCCCTCAATCCGTTACACTCTAATCATATGATGACAGGAAGGTCAGTCTCTTTCGTTATACACTCTTTTTCGACAAATTCTTTAGACATAACTGACCCCGTATTGCCCTTATTACCTGCAAATCATGCTCTGTGAGTGTGCATAAGAAAACCAAAAGGGGAGTGAGAGAGAGAGAGAGAGAGAATGCAAATTGAAGTGTACATACCTCCTGCAGAAGATTGTGAGCTTTTAACTTGTGATTTTACTGATCTCTTCCTTTTCACAGGAGTGGGTGTGTGATTATCTAGTTCGCCAACTTTTAGTTGTTTATTTTGCTGCATGGGTTCAAAACAGCACATTCGAGGAGCCAGCTCGCTCCATGTGGGAGCCGGCTCTGTCCATGAGGGAGTTGGCTCCCTCCTTTAGAGAGCCAGTTCTCTCTCCTCGAGAGCTGTAACTTCAACTCTGTTCATCTTCTTTGCCTCCGGCGAAGTTCAGAGACTTTGTATTTTTTTATTAATATTCTTAGAGTTCAATCTCTATCCCAAATTAATTATAAGAAATTATCATGCATCAACGACATGAATTAAACACAAGTTTATAATCAACGAAAACCAGATTTAATTAAGAATTAATTGAATTTCCATATAAGCACACATTAATGACAACAAATAAAGCAATTAAATAATTAAACAAAATAACTACACAAATAAACACATAAATCAATTAAATAATTAAATAAAGAAAACAAATATGTAAATAATTCAATTAATCAAATAAAAATGCAATAAAACCATTAATTAAAATGCCGAGACTATCCTTTTCAGATTAGGGGTATTATAGTATGTGTATACACGGTATGTACCTTGCATATGACATGGCTGTAGAGACAACCCAATCTTTTCTCACTGATCTTAATTTTTTTTTTTTTTAGTCGTTAGCATAGCTATAGGTTAGGGCGAATAAAGAAATGGCCCAAGTATATAACAAGTAGTTGTAATAAAGAAAAGGAGTGTATGTGTCCTTTTAAAAGTAGTGATTGTGAGCTATATAGATATATCCATAGAAGGTCAAATTAGTTATGCAGCTATGCCCCCTACCATCTAATCTATTACAAGTTACTACCTACGTCCCATATTAAATGTCCAACTTTCCATTTTTGGTTGTCCCATTTGAAATAGTACTATTACTTGTAATATTACTAATTTAACCTTCTGGCATTGAATTTTTAAAAAGTAAACCATCACATCCTGTTGACCCATTATGGACATTTGGTAATTTATTCACTACCAATACAATAAAAAAATATTAAAACCCACCCTCTTAAAAAATAAGATTCCCGAAAAGGGAAGTTTAATTTGGGACGGAGTGAGCATATGTTAAAAATAGTAACTTCCCTGAATTCATCAGTTTCTTTTGGTAGATTCATAGCACAAAGAGGAGCTACATTATTATATTCTTCAAATACAGATTTTCTTTTCCATGAAAGTATCCTCATTATTGCTCACCTTGATCTTGTGTCTTGTTGAATCATTTAATTGCTCCTTTTGATCTCTCAAGAGCTTCAAAGATTCCTCACTAGGAAAGTGATGAGATTTTCTGGCTTGTAAGCCCCTCAATCCGTTACACTCTAATCCTATGATGACAGGAAGGTCAGTCTCTTTCGTTATACACTCTTTTTTGACAAATTCTTTAGACATAACTGACCCCTTCTTGCCCTTATTACCTACAAATCATGCTCTGTGAGTGTGCATAAGAAAACCAAAAGGGGAGTGAGAGAGAGAGAGAGAGAGAGAATGCAAATTGAAGTGTACATACCTCCTGCAGAAGATTGTGAGCTTTTAACTTGTGATTTTACTGATCTCTTCCTTTTCACAGGAGTGGGTGTGTGATTATCCAGTTCGCCAACTTTTAGTTGTTTATTTTGCTGCATGGGTTCAAAACAGCACATCCGAGGAGCCAGCTCCCTCCATGTGGGAGCCAGCTCTGTCCATGAGGGAGCTCCCTCCTTTAGAGAGCCAGTTCTCTCTCCTCGAGAGCTGTAACTTCAACTCTGTTCATCTTCTTCGCCTCCGGCGAAGTTCAGAGACTTTGTATTGTTTTATTAATATTCTTAGAGTTCAATCTCTATCCCAAATTAATTATAAGAAATTATCATGCATCAACGACATGAATTAAATACAAGTTTATAATCAACGAAAACCAGATTTAATTAAGAATTAATTTAATTTCCATATAAGCACACATTAAGGACAACAAATAAAGCAATTAAATAATTAAACAAAACAACTACACAAATAAACACATAAATCAATTAAATAATTAAACAAAGAAAACAAATATGCAAATAATTCAATTAATCAAATAAAAATGCAATAAAACCATTAATTAAAATGCCGAGACTATCCTTTTCATATTAGGGGTATTATAGTATATGTATACACGGTATGTACCTTGCATATGACATGGATGTAGAGACAACCCAATCTTTTCTCACTGATCTTAATTTTTTTTTTAGTCGTTAGCATAGCTATAGGTTAGGGCGAATAAAGAAATGGCCCAAGTATACAACAAGTAGTTATAATAAAGAAAAGGAGTGTATGTGTCCTTTTAAATGTAGTGATTGTGAGCTATATAGTATGAAAGTGAATATGACTTGGTGTTTGATGAGATAAACTATGATATTATATTGCTTCCTAATTTCATATGGAAAGTTGTAGATGGAAGGTTATAAGGTTCAATACTTTGAAAGAAGGCAGTCTTATTGACTCGAGGGGACAACTCTAAGATTGGCTCGCTCGCGGTCATTTCGATGGCCATTAAGTTGTTACTTCGCAGGTCGAGATCCAAATTGGGGTATGTAGAGGCTCAAATGAGCTCGAGGGACGTATGACCCTTGAGATCGTCATGCAGCGATGAGTCAAAAAATAATAATAATAATAACAATGAAATGAACAGTGTAGAGTGACATCACCAAAAATTTAAAATGCGAGGTGGCAACGATGGTGTGCGAGCCAGTAAAAGATGCGATATCTACGTGGCGACAACAATGTGCAGGCCCGTGAAAGGGTTGGAGTGCATCGACGGGGTATGCGTGCTTAGAATTGATGGGCTCTGTCGTCAACGAGGGGTAGCCCAAAAATTGAAGGCATCATTGACAAGTCGAGTCCCAAAAATCAACGGGTCAATGGTCGAGGTCGTCAATCCAAATGGGTACAACTCGCCGGAGATTGATGTGCCTTTCTAAAAAATATGTTGAGGGCGTGTGCAGCAAATGCAGAATTCAATGTCATGGACAGTATAGACTTCTGGGTATACAAAACAATGGGATGTTTTGATTGATGTTTGATGAAGCACCGCCAGGGAAGGATAGAGGAAGATGCATAGTCAAGGTTGGTTGTGAGAATCGACCAAATTGGTGGTCTGAAATCAACAACTTCTGTTGACAAGAATGGTTGAATGAAATCGACGGGTTGTCGGCGTTCGGGTCGGTAGAATAAAAAAAAGATAGGCAGCGACATTCTAGCGCGAATTCGAGGGGCATCGCCATCAACGGGCCTGAAATCGACAGGTTGTCGAAAAATGGACGGGCCGTGAACACTACATGAAATCGGCTGGCATCGTCAACAGACGGTTTGCAAGAAATCGATGGGCCGCGTCTATTAAAATGGTTGCATGAAACGAGGGTCGCCCAGCGCCGTTCATGGTTAAACAAAACGGTGCCCGGTAGTCTGATGGCGATGGCAAAGTGTTTTGATGACAAGACTACGTTGCTCGAGGCGACCGTTGCAGGAAATCAACTGGCGTTGTTGACACGGTTGGAACAACGGTTGCACGACGGGGTCGGTGTTTAGAAGAAATGATAGCATGAGATCGACGGGTTGAGGGAGCGGCTTATTAGTAGACAAATTGGCAGCAAAAATCAAACAAAGCTCAAGGGATGTAATAATAAAAAGGTGGCAGCTGTTATCGGGTAGACTTGAGTATTTGTTAATGAAATAAGCATATTCGTATGTGTTGATTCGTAGAAGCGGGAAGCTTTGGTTCGAAAAGGAAAATACAAGGGAAAATTTGTTGATCTAAAAAGAAAATAATGTATCATATACTATAGTATAATTTATTTAAATATTATTTGTAAATATAATATTTATTATAATAATCTATATATATATATTTATATAGTTTAATATCAAGAAAATAAAACTATAAAAGAACCTGATAAAGTCGAGGCTAGAATTTAATTCTATAGCCTTATACGCCCCGCTACGGTGTTAACGGACTCTTCGGCGTCTATCTCCCAGGATACAACGATTTTTCTTCCTTTGGTAGTAGCACTTCAAACCAATGGAATAGGCGAACCGGCTCGGTGTAGTACTCTCTGATGAACTCAGACTCGGAGACCAGGATTGAACCCTAACTCGGAGACCAAGATTGAACCTAAACTTGGAAACCAAGGTTCGAACCCAATCCAAACCAGTTTAGGTTGAACCCAAACCAGTGGCTGAACCGAACAAAGAAGAATTAGAAGAAGAAATTCAGAAGAAGAGAAGAGATTTCTGAAATTGGTGTGAATTGAAATGAACCCAATGATGGGTATTTATAGGCTTGTTGGTGCCTATTCTGAATGGGTGCACCCATAGTCCGAATGGGTGCAACCATTGTTGACCAATCAGAATTAAAAAACTGTTGGTGGTTTTTAATTTGTAAAGGGTGCAACTCTTGGTTCAAAATTTAAAACTGAATCCTTTTAATTCTGATCCAGCCAGCCCTTTAATTTCGTCCAGTCCAGCAAGCAAATAATCCAACTCGGCCATTAATTCAGCCCAGTAAACAGGCCCATTTTGATAAGTCCAGCAACAAAATAAAATTACAACCACACAGGCCCATCCCAACTTTGGGTAAAAAGTTAAACCCATTTCACAATCAAGCCCCGCCCTAGCCCGGACCGGACCGGGCGGGCGGCGCTCGCGTGTGGTAGTTGGTTCGGATCCAGGCTAGCCTAGGTCCTCCCCCTCTTAAAAACTTGGGTGCCCTTGGGCCCAAACCCAAATCCCATACTAGACATATATATACTCAAGGTTGCTTTGCTACTTTTTCGATGTGGGACAAGCATTTCCCACTTTATTCACACCCATTTAGGCTTTATAAATCACTTACTTTGGAGCCAATTTCTCATTCACCCGGAAACGGATTTGAGAAAATAAATATACCACGTTCATCTCCTCGCAGAGAGGAACGCGCTCATCAATAGATTCGCAAAAAATTCTTAGCAGAATCTTTTTAAAAATCCTTCCAAAGTTTGTGTTTTCTAATGCCGTTTCCAACAATCCCCCACATGAATGAAAATTTTCGCAGATTACAAAAGGAGATGATACAGACACTATAGAGAGTACTATTGGAAAGTTACTGCATCGGGATAGGTAGCTTTTGGCCTTGAACCTTCCCTAGTGTATTACTATCGGATTTACTAGCTAACCAGTGAACATTATGTCTTGAACTGTTCAGCCATTGATGTAAACCAAGACAATAGCAAACACACAATTCCTTCCCACACAAAGTCGGTTCTCACGGTTGTGTTCATATGGCCCTGAACAACGCCTGGTATTTCATGAGCGCTCCAGAAAACTTAGCCTTAGAAGTTCTCATAGAAGCGGCCCCACTTCACACTCATATAGGTGACTTCTTATTAAGAGTATCCTACCATACCCCACTTGAATTTTCAAGGTATAAGAGTCATTAAAAGCATAGCTTATCCTATTCATCGCTGTAGGTAACACTGTCTCATCATAGAAATGGGTAGAAGATTGAATCTTCCCAGTGCTTCTGGTGAGCCATTCAGTATTTCTGTTGTCCCTTTGAACCTAGATCTTGGGATCTCCAGTCAACTAGGTTGGGTTTCCATTAAGATGACTCGTTAGCTTTCGGCTTTAATCCCATTCCCCTCGATGAACTATATACTTGCTCTCTTGTCAAACCTTTTGTAAACGGATCCGCTAAATTATCTTTTGATCTGATATAATCTATTGAGATTATCCCACTTGAGAGCAATTGTCTAACGGTATTATGTCGTCGACGTATATGTCGAGACTTACCGTTGTACATATTACTTTGTGCCCTTCCAATTGCTGATTGACTATCACAATGTATACATATAGCGGGCACCGGTTTAGGCCAATTTGGAATATCTTCTAAGAAATTACGAAGCCACTCAGCTTCTTCACCTGCTTTATCCAAAGCAATAAATTTAGATTCCATAGTGGATCTGGCAATACAAGTTTGTTTTGAAGATTTCCAAGATATGGCACCTCCTCCAATAGTAAAGACATAGCCACTTGTGGATTTAGAATCCTTAGTATCTGATATCCAATTAGCATCACTATATCCTTCAAGTACTGCTGGATATCTAGAATAATGTAATCCATAACTTATAGTATATTTTAAATACCTTAGAACCCTAATTATTGCAGTCCAATGGTTCTTTCCTGGATTACTAGTATATCTACTCAATTTATTAACTGAGTATGCTATGTCTGGGCGTGTGCAATTCGTCAAATACATTAAGCTTCCTATAATGCGAGAATACTCAAGTTGTGATATGCTAGGACCAGTATTTTTCGATAAATGAATATTTACATCAACGGGAGTCTTTACAAGACTACTATCCCCTTTATTAAACTTTTCTAATATTTTCTCAATATAGTGAGATTGAGATAATACTAGACCATCTGATGTTCTAGAAATCTTAATTCCTAGTATGACATCTGCTATGCCTAAATCTTTCATATCAAAATTTTTGGTCAACATCTTTTTAGTAGTTTTGATTATAACATCATTACTACCCATTATTAGCATATCATCCACATATAGGCACACAATGACATATCCATTTTGAGTGTTTTTCACATACACACATTTATCACA